GCTATTAAAAATCTTGGGACACACTTCAGGTATAACTTCCACATAGAGAAAACGCTGTATAAAATGTTCAATTTTAGGACTTCTTACAAAATGCCTGTAACTTTTTGACAGAGTTGTGGGAGGTCTTATTTATCAGAAACGTTTGCTCTACAAACCTATCTGTTCAGAAAAATTTTAATTGCATACCTATCCAGGAAAAAGCTATTATTTGAAGATCTGTTTTTCCAAGGCTCCTAGAAAACTTGCTCAAAATCCCCGAAAAAACAGTTTTGTAACTAAAAACAATACACATTCTGGAAGTAGACACTTCCGGCTATCTTTCCATGTGCTTATCTCAAAACCGATTTTTTGACCGAAAATCACCATTTCTGAGGGGTATCTTACGAGAGCAATTAGGGACAAATCAAGAGGACACTATTTGCTTTATCTAAAGATTTTATAGTTCACGAAAATATTCATTTTGCAATTATATTCTGTTAGTAGAAATTGTTTCTCTTCTCCTTTTTCGTTGGGAAGTCTATTAATTATTTGCAACTTTTACTTCTGTTTTCGAAAATAATCTTGGTAAAATCAAAACCTTAAAGTTTATCATTAAAACTCAATACACTCTTCCCACTAAACTGAAATGAAAGTGTTGGGGTTGAACTCACAAGCGAAAATGAAGTTTGCAGTGACGTGCACGAAGTGAAAATTTTAGATTTTTTGAAAAGGCACAAAAATTTCGAGATAAATTGTGCTTCAGCGAAAAAATTAGAGATTGCAGAAAAATTCTAAAAAAGAAGACGCGACCGGGTCTCTTCGCAGTCGGGACGGTACAGTTTATCATGAGGTGTTCACCCGTGAAGGACACTAAACGAACCCATGGTTTACAAACAAATCATTTGATGATTCGAGAGATGACAGAAAAGAACTCGAAAGAAAACAGTCTCAGTCTGCATTTTCGAAAAGTTTATAATAAGAGTTGAGGTTCTTTTGGAACAGGCTTATAAGTTATAAAATGCAAATGAACTAACGACAAGGTAACCAAAGAGTCACGATTATATTATGTTACGTCCGTTAACCGAGCTAGTCCCTGTTGATACAAGATGCCTTTTCTTTTCTTTCCATTTTCATTATCATCCCACCCTTGCTCGACACAACGTAGTAATAATGTTAAAAAATAAAATTTAAGTGGAAGCATACATGATGATTACTTCGTGTGTATTAGCTCTGACGTTCTTCTTCTTTTTTTATCTCTATCTGAAACATAAATATTTTACAGGACCTTCATCATCATCGATACCCTATTTAAAGCCACAATTTCTCGTCGGTAACATGATACAAACAGGCATATTTAATAGTGATCAAGCAACGTTTCAAATGTGGTCACAATTAAAATCTAAATATGGTGATTTGTATTATTACTGGTTTGGTCCCTGTCGTTGTTAAATCAAAACCTTAAAGTTTATCATTAAAACTCAATACACTCTTCCCACTATAATACTGACGAGGGACCTTTCTGAGGTGACACACTCCGTTTTTATTCGTTTGCCTGTCATTCGATAGCATACATCGAGATAGTAAAAAGCAGAGCTGCAGAATCTGCCTGTTTGCTCGCGTCGGGGGAAAATTTATTGCTTTCGGGAAATCTTTTTGAAAAACTGGAATTCCTTTTTGGAAAAAATTTTTAAAAAGACATTCTGTTCGTGAATTGTGTCGCGGAATTTTTTGACAAAGTTTTCCGTCGGAGGAAATTTTCTAATCTCAAGGGTAGATTCTGCACCTCTGGTAAAAAGCCTAAGTGAATATGGTCCCTTATTGCTTTCTTAAAAAGTTATAGTTGTTTTTCTGTTTTCACCAGCGGAAAACTCTGAAAATTAAAAAATTCATAACTCAGACGAAATGCTACCTAGGTTCTTGAAATTTTCAGCGCTAAAAATACATTAGCCAACTATAATCATCCTGATAATTTCAAGGCTCTACGTTACTTTCTTACAAAGATCTAGAATTTGCAATTCTAAAGGGAATTTGCTTACATCATTTTTAGCTACAGCAATATTTCTTAGGTGTTTTCAATATGCAAAGGAGAAACAATAGGGTTGTGAGGTAGTTAGTCGCCCATTGCCACTACTACTACTGCCCCAAAAATTATCCGTACGGTCCAAACATTTTTTTGTTTTAACCATAACTCAGCAGAGGGGCGGTCTTTCGCCAAATGGTTTTCACAGAAATGTTGCCCATTCCTTCGAGTATATTTGTCGAAAAAACAAAATTTAAAATATTGGTTATTCTTGCACGTAGGTCGACATCAATGCTCGGGTACTTTCTCTTCGGTACCGAAGAACTGCAAAAATTTTCAGTACGACTATGTAATTGATTTTCTGATCCGTCAAGGAAGTTTAAAGCTTTGAAAACTATACCAGCGGAAAGCGGAGAAGATAGCGAACATTTTGGTAACAAAAGATTTCTCGGGCCAACAGATCGATTTTAAGGTAAAGTTGACATGGGCAACATGTAAACGCTCTATCTCGGTAATGAATGGATGAAATTTCCTTTTAGATATATCAGTGGAAAGAGCATCAAAAACTGCGTAAGAAAGCGATTGATTTAAAATTTCACGAATAAAAGTTGACCCATTTTTTCGTCTGTTTGTCATGAACCCCGTTCAAAGCATCCCCAGTTTTGCGGGTTTTTTAACTTTTCATCATTTTCTTTATGTTTTTAATCAAAACTAATAACATATTCAGAATCAGGAAACAAAAATGGATCAAAAAACCAAGTCTTCAAAATTTTATAAAAGACTTTGTTTATTTAAGAAACCGAGTGAACCGTACAATGCAGCTTTTTTCTGAAAATAGATACTTTTACTAGCCAAAATACGCGTATTTCCCTTGGCAGTTAATTCCGAACAGCAGAAATCGAACAAATTTTTTTCACATGCTTTATTTTGATAGAACAATGTCAGAAAATATGCACTTTAGTCATTTACGTGGTTTTTTCCATTCTTCTTTTACTATGTAAGACAAAATAAGAGCATGTGCGTAGATAGAATCACACTCTTATAGAGTTGGAACAGTTCGTATCACTTCATTTTGGCCAAATAAGTAAAATGCCACGGCGTAAGAAGGATTATCCGGAAGATCTTCGTTCTTTGGTTATCAAACATTATAAAAATGGTAAAACTTTAGGAGAAACAGGTCGAATGTTAATAGTGCCAAAATCCTCAGTTCAGTACATAGTCGATAAATTTAAGAAAACGAAAACTGTCAAGAATGTCGATTGATCGAGAGGTCGAAAACAGAAAACAACGAGCGATGTTGACCGGTTGATTCTTAACAAAATACGAGAAAACCGCGGAAAACCAGCCCGAGCAATCCACAAGGAGTTCAATAATGAATTCTCTATCAGATCGATGGTGTTAGTCTGGAAGACGCAAGTCTTTTCAGTGAGACATATCCACAGTTGAAACGAAGTTGCTATCTTGAAAGGTGGTTGAGAACGAAGGTTCAGCCTTCATTTTTGAATCAGCTATCTCAATGTAAATATACTTTTCCTGTTACAATCTAGCGAGTACAATGCGAGGTCCCTTAACAGATAATCAAATGGAACCGTTCTTCTTGCTGTTCTCAATCAGCACACGGTACAAAATAACTCTTCTTTTTTTGTGATAATGCGATAAAAAACATTAAAAATATCTTTAAATAGACTTTAGACGGGCGCCGATTCCATTTTTATTGACAAAATCAATCATTTCGAAACAGTCTTCTCTTTTCATATTCAGTAACTTCTTTGAGAAGCATCCTTAGGTTTCACTGGAATCACTCATCTAAACACTTTACACCTTTCATCGCAAATAGCTATCTAATTGTTGGGATCATTGTCTCTCTTCGCCTTAGAAAAACTTAATCGGTCCGACCAAGTTTTCTGCTATTTCGAAAAACAATTAATTGAGTTTACGTCTTCTTCGATTTGGATAATGTGCAAATGTTGAGGTAGCATTGTGTGACGGTGGATAGTGGCAGCCTTTTGAAAATAAGTCCATGTTCGTTCGAACTCGCCGTTGTCCTCACGAACGACACCGATGCCTTCCCTGTCATCATTTGTCACTTTTTGCTTACTCCACCTTTTCCGCACCCCCAATGCCTGATGGCGTCATCAAAAAACCGAAACTTCGTTCGAATACACTGCACATAATAGTTGTCACACGGGATGAAAATCGCTGTCCACTTCACCAAAATACACAAATGCAGTAGCACCGATGGTCTCACATTAACCCAGTTGATGGCTAACAATTCTTCAGCCAAAACTAAGATTCCACTTTTGGCTAGCCAAAACTGAGATATAACTAGTCAAAAAGTGGTATATCAATTAAAACTGAATTTAACTATAGTATTATCACGCTCTTGGTTTCTTGGCTATAAACTACAGATGTGTTTCGTAGGATGATTTTTTTCTATATTCTGTAGCTTATAGCCGATACTTATCTACTTAACCGCGTAAAGGTGGCATGATATCTAAGTAGTACTGTTTTTTGGGAGATTTTGGTTTTTGTTTTCCATCTCTCTTCATTAGTTAATATGTCCAAAACATTGATCAACCTTAAATGGAACAAACAAAGAACAAGAGCAAAATGAA